ATAGGCTTATCAATAATAAAACACGCCATAGGAACGCACTCCATTGAGCGTTCGTTTCGTACTCGATTTGATTCTGATTTGAACGACTGTCTGGCATATATATCTAGATCGCCAGCCGTATTTAATTACCGTGTGATATTGTGTAACGTGTATATGATATATTGTATGTAAGTATATACATTTACTTACATTATTTTGTTATATGGGCCGCACAAGAAGCTCATTGAATTATCACGTATCATTTCATTCTGATGAGCTGCACACTTTTTATTAGAATATTTTTCTTTCATCAGAAAAAAAACATTTTACTAACAGCTGAACGTCTGTTTTGAAGAGCAATGATGGAGTACATAACACAATTATACAATACAGCATTTCTCGTTTTACAAATAGTTGTATAGCTTTGAACAATGTGTCCTTTCAATAGATCACGTGATTTCAAAAGGTCAGACAAAAAGGACCTCTATATCGGCAATATGTTGACTGAAAATCGAGTGTTGGTAAATGGTTATTGTGCTTTGATTATTAGAGCTACAATCTGTGAGTATAATATACACATGTCATAATGAATCGTATTTCAAACGAACTCGATTATTGAGGGAACCCAAATGTTACCCGCGCAACTGTACAAGGAAGTAAGCCAAGTCACATTTAGGATAGCTGACATTCTACAATTATATTTAATACTAAACATAGCTAAATCAATTAATAATAGTATTTGTTTATTGTTTGTCTCTTTTGAACAAGTAAAATTATCAACGTTTTCGCTTTCAGTGGCGAACCGAAGATACTCGAGTTGTCATACATAATAAATAAGCCTATCAGCAAAGTGTCAAAAATCTAATACTGTGTGTTATACACACAATGGAAGCAAGAATAGTAATTTACCCTTGATTTGCATGTACAGCTGATAGACACATAAAGGGGATATAAACCGGAAACATTAATATTCATCAGGATATTTCAATTGCGTTCGGTTCGCTAACTTCATTTAAAGTTCCATTCAATATAATGGCATCTTAGTATTCAATATCGTTTGTGCAAAAACTGTACATGGACGAATTGCAGCCTCACTTGATCACAAAAATGAATGTCGTTTGTTCAAGGAATGTGTAGGTCATGTCATGACAGAAAACCCACGTATTGAGGTAGTCATCGGAAAACATCCATATAAAATAATTGGTGCCGTCTAGATTCATGAAAGATTATCAAATATTACAAATATATTTATTCACAAACAATCGAGGGAGTTGTTTCGTTTGTTTCTGGACGATCCGGACCGAGCTCGACACTTGTTCGTCCTTAACTATATAAACACACAACTTTGCATACAACGATCAATCAGATCTCAAGTGTCTTATAAGTTATCGGGTGTGACGTATGGAAACTATTTATCGGGTTGTATCACATGTAAGATACATGCTAGATTGAAAAACATGATGACAACATATAAACACACATGAATATCACAATTAGTAAAAAGACTCCACATTTATTTTAATTTTAATTTGAGCTTAATGCTAATTATTGTAATTCCTCAGTAAAAATAGCTTACAAACTCTCATATTGTAATTGATATTGCCCGTATAATTACAAACCAATGGCATGTCAAGTCCAATAGTTAAACTTAATCTGCTTGACCCAAATATTTACATTTCAAGGCGTAGTAAAATTCTTAGGATCCTCTTCTATTTTGCTTAGGTTACAGTTTTGATGTTGTTGGACCATTAGATGTTGATATTCTACAAGGAGAAGATGCTACTCTGCAATGTGTTATCACAGACTTTTCTGGTAGTATAGGAAAGTGGTCTAAAGTTGATGAGGCTGATGAGATATTCAATTTACTCAGTTCCGGTGCATATATAGGCACTGGTCACGATTCTACAAAACATTTTGACTGGAGTGTGGACACTACTGGCACACACCACTATGATTTAAATATACCCAATATAGATATCAACGATGAAGGATGTTATTTTTGTGGGATTGGAACTGGAGACTCCAACAGTATGTCAAACACATGTGGAAATCTCAGAATAATAGGTGAATAATTCCTTGTTATCAACTTTATATATTCTTTTAATGCCCTGTTTACACTGTGCATTTAACTACATTGTCAACTACTGGAACACTACGTCGCAGCATTATTTTAAATACATAATGTAATCGTTGAAAAAAAAATCTTAAAATATTAATGCGAGATAACAGGGATCGGACGTAGATGTTCATTTTAATAATTGCCTGGATTGAGTCCCGTCTATTATTGCCCACGTTCCTGTTTTACCCTGTTCTTTATTTCCTAAATCAAATAACAACGTAAGCTGAAAATACTATATTACATTATTTGGGAATGTATGTATGCTTTGAGTTTTTCCCAAATTAAAACGTTTATCTTGGAGGAATGTACCTTGCTGAGAGAATAAGGAGCATGCCACTAACATGTCGTGTCAGTAAGAACATGTCGCTGATACCAGTGACCAAACAATTTATGATATGTAGGTGTTTAATGTACTTTTATTTATTTGTTGTCAAATTATAGGCTATATTCGAAACATTGACTAATCCTGTAAAGTCGAGTCACGTCACAAAAAGTGACTTACTTGAGTAAGAATTAGATGAATGCTACTGTACGTGTGTTCTTCTTAGTCGATAACAGTGACATAATACAATTAGGCAACCCACTTTTTTAGTGCAAATAATTAAAGTTTAGTAATATGTGACATACAAAGTGAGAGCGACAATATTGTATGAATGTGAAGCTGCTCTATATCTTGCCTCACGATGTTATAATATAATGAATTTTCGAGCCATAAGAGCCACCAGCGTTGCACATACCGTAAAGTAAATGTAGTGGCATTCAATTTATATCCATGTTAAAAACGTACTAATAGTCCTATAGCCCCCATACATGTTACGAGACCATGGGGCGAATTACGCTGCTGTATTGAAGGTCTACCGTAACGAAATTCACATCTATTCACATTTTATATTATTGTTTTGTTTGGGAACATTTATGAAGTTTATGTTTCATACAGTAAACATGCTGAAATATTATTATGTTATTTATAGACTATATTAAACGTTCATATATGAACAATATATGAACAAGGGTAAAGCTTAGGTAAGTAATGGTTTATATGACACTAGAAGTACATTACAGTACATACCAGTATGGAATAGTGACCACGATAAAGATATTAAATGTGAAGCCTATGTATTTACTACACATAAACATTACAGTACATATGTGACTTTGGATGTATTAGGGAAGTAATGGTTTATACGACACTACAAGTACATTACAGTACATACCAGTATGGAATAGTGACCAAGATACAGATATTAAATGTGAAGCCTATGTATTTACTACACATAAACACTACAGTACATATGTGACTTTGGATGTATTGGGTAAGTAATGAATCATATGACACTACAAGTACATTACAGTACATACCAATATGGAATTGTGACCACGATACAGATATTAAATGTGAAGCCTATGTATTTACTACACATACACACTACAGTAAATATGTGACATTGGATGTATTAGGTAAATAATGGTTTATATGACACTACACGTACATTACAGTACATACCAGTATAGAATAGAGACCAAGATTAAGATATTAAATGTGAAGCCTATGTATTTACCATACATACACACTACAGAACATATGTGACATTGGATGTGTTAGGTAAGTAATGGTTTGTATGACACTTCAAGTACATTACAGTACACATCAGTATGAAATAGTGACCAAGATAAAGATATTAAATGTGAAGCCTATGCTTTAACTACACACACACATTACAGTACATCTGTGATATTGAATGTATTAAGTAAGTAATGGTTCATATGACACTACAAGTTCATTGCAGTACAAACCAGTATGGAATAGTTACCAAGATAAAGATACTAAATGTGAAGCCTATGTATTTACTACACATACACACAACAGTACATATGTGATATTGAATGTATTAAGTAAGTAATGGTTCATATGACACTACAAGTTCATTGCAGTACAAACCAGTATGGAATAGTTACCAAGATAAAGATACTAAATGTGATGCCTATGTATTTACTACACATACACACAACAATACATATGTGTTTTTAGATGTATTAGGTATGTAATGGTTTATATGACACTACAAGTACATTACGGTACACACCAGTATGGAATAGTGACCAAGATAACGATATTAAATGTGAAGCCTATGCTTTTGCTACACACACATATTACAGTACATATGTGACATTGAATGTATTATGGAAGTAATGGTTTATATGACACTTCAAGTGCATTACAATATATACCAGTATTGGATAGTGACCAAGATAAATATATTAAATGTGAAGCATATGTATTTACCACACATACACACTACAGTACATATGTGACATTGGATGTATTAGGTAAGTAATGGGTTATATTACACTACAAGTACACTACGG